AGTTGGAACCCATCAAGGTGACGAGAAAGATAAGACGAGACCATTATTGAGGTAAATAACATCTTTCCGGGACAAGCTGTTAAGGTGAGAGAAGTACGGGAGACTTACCTGTATCGGGAGGAGTCGAAGGTGCTGCAAGGATAGACCCATCGGTAGTATGACGTGGTTTATCTGCGACCGGTGCAGACAGAATCCAACAAGCCAGCGCCTGAGCCCAGGATTTGCAGGATAATCCAGAGCACTGATACTGGGGACGAGCGCCTAGGACTACCATACGACGAAGGCGGCCCGGAGCAAGCCATTGTGGGGAGAGTCTTTAAGATTACTGAGGCCACGTCCAGAGTGCTCTATCAGGAGAACCGGAAAATCATGAAAGACAAAACCACACGCGTTTACGACGTTGGATTTGTTGCTGGATTTGGAATTACTTAAGGAACTGTAGGAAGGCTGCTTTATTCGTTAGCTTGTCACGCCTTCCCAGGTGTTTTGAAGGCATTAAGTTATTTAACTACGTGTAGTTCTAAAGTGTTCCTGTAGAAGTTTAAAGAGTTTGAGCTTATATTTAAAGCATTCTTTAAGTTCAAGTTCAAAGTGTTTAGGATTGTATAAAGTGTTTTAGCAACCTGTTGAGGACTTAAACGGTACTGCCTTGTAGGTGTGCACTAACTGTATTGCTTATTTGATTTTTGTAAGTTTGAACGGTCAAGAGACTGACCGAAACTTAAGGCGCGGCTGTGTGACGCAGGAGCAGTTTGCGTGTTATTCTGAGCCGTCGCAGTTAGGCCCAGGGCTTATTCCCTGACGTCGGCGGGACCCGTCGTGCGCTATGGCTGGTGGCGCCCGGCTGGCGGCACGCGACTTATATAACTGCGATCGCGCGCCAAGCGTGTCAGTTCCTTCGCAGTCAGTCCCATGTGCCGTATTAGTTCCAGCGCCGTTGAGTTGCCATACGGTTTTCTTTACTGCTCCCACCGGGGAGAACTACCAGGCCCTACCCGTAAGTAAGCGACTTACCGGGGGATCTTTAGACTTAATATAAATAACTTGTGGACGAGTTTATACGGGGAACTCCATCCACGGTGCAGTAGTCTTACGAGGGGATTTGGTGGATGTAAAACAAGTTGTGCCCGTAGCTTAGACCTGTACAGCCTACCAAGATCTGACCAGGAGATTACCAGGGCCCGTGGAGGTCGCATCATAAGTAACGCCTGCAGAGGTGCGAACAATTATTGAACCAGAGTCATCTTAGGCAGACGTGTCCGTTTGTGTCTGTGGTGCTCCCTGTGTCCCACCCTGTCCTCTACCCCAGTGCGCGCCTGTGCTGCTCTCCTGCTGCACCTGGCGGTAGACTGCCCCCAAACGGGCCTGCTCCCTTGGCTGCCTCAGACTAGACCGCTCGCTGACGTCGGCCGAGGACGACCTGGGGGTTGTTTCGGCACGACCGCCACAATAATATACATAGCGAATTTTATGTTATATGAGGTCGAAGCCCTTTGACTATCAGCGAAACGCATGAACTCTTGAAGTGAAGGCAAATCTGTGCCGTATCAAGCAGAGTGCAGGGGGTAATTGACCCAACCTATGTGGACACGTCACGTTGCCATAAAAAAGTATTCATGAATACCTCAGACAGCCTCCCTATTCAACGTGTAACTTGACCGTGTATTAACATTTAATAATGCCCGCTGAGAAGTGATAGTGCCTGCTGCGTAAATTACGCGCTGGTACCTAGATACGAGACAGTCTGATCGATTGTGATTGGTGAGTGGTCTGTGTGCCCAAGGCTTGTCACGCGCGCGCCAAATCCATATAAGGAAAATCTTTTGGACAACTTGCACAAGGAATATACCATCAAATGGACGGGGTTTGGGGGAAAATAAAAGTAAAATTCTAGAACAAAAATTGTTGGAAATCTATCATATATTGATTTCTTTTGACTCTCTGACCTTTGAAAAGGAATAAATAATGTGCTTGGTCGGTCTTAGACGTTACTTTAAAACCGGCTTAGAAGATTGAGCCCTGATAATGCTCCCGCCTGCGACTCAGGCATTAGTCGCGTCCATTCCCCTGAGCTGGTCAAGACAGGCCAAGTGCATATTTATTCCCTTATTAAAAGGCTAAGATCGGTACATGTACTACCTTTCAGAGAGTAAAGATTCCTGGACAGATAAAAAAGATATTGTTTCCCCCTCCACACAAAACCTGGATAAGCCACTGCCAATGCCAAAACTCTGTGACGTCATGACATTGATATTACCAGATCATTGCGTAAATTTGGTTATTACTGAAACAAACACCAACCCGCTAGATTCATTGCCTTTTACCTCTGTTACCGCAGTCTCCGTGTACACAGTGGTATCATACACCCATCCCAGTTCACACGGAACAGGCTGTCCAAGCTCATCAACATTACAATCACTGTACGGTTCGGAGGCGTTGGCATACATCTTACAGCTGTCCCAGCGCCCGTTGTCAAGCTTAGGTATGGAGCACCTACGCACCTCGTCATGCGCCTTGGAGGCGTTGTAGGTGTAGTTGTCGTACAGGCGACATTGATGGTCCGGCGAAGCGCTCAGAAACGTGTTACCCAGGCTATGCCAGGCGGTGGGAATAGACATAACGCATAGGGTGAAATACACCACTTTTTGATACAGGCCGAAATCCCCCAGGTACCTCAGAGCATTTTCGAATTGCATGGTTATATTTAAAGCCACACAAAGTGATGTTCGCGACAAAGACAATTGCTGGCTGATCAAGGATGGACAGTGCTGACTGAATTACAGACAACTTTTTTCGCACTATAGCCTATAAAGAATCGTCAGTAGCGGTACCTCGATAGGTTGCGCATGTGTTGTGTTGTTTTATCTGATCAATTCAGCTTATCGAGTGTAGGCCTGCCTACAACAGTGAACCTTTGAACCTTTCAGAAATATCACACCATCAATTGTGGTTTATAGCCAAGAAAATAAAAGGAGGCACGGTCTTCAATCTACATTAAGACATGCATTTATAAAAGGCCTTATGGGGCAATTACAGACGGCAGCATTTGAGCTGCAAGGGTAGTCACGAATGGGGCACTCCTACCCCCTCCGGGGATTGAGATTGGGGAAGAATGAAATTAATATCCATGATAAAACAGAGGTTTTGAGGGCTCCAGAGCAGCATAGGATTATGTATGTGGTATGCATCTGTGTTTGCCTGTACCCACCCCTTATAAATACCCATTTCTTGTCTTGCATGTCAACTTTTATATGTAAAAAAATCTCCACGGTATAGTCTCAGGAATTTCCAATTTTTTATGATGAAAAAATCTTGACCAATCGCATCCCTGAATCATCCGTTCCACTTAAGACGTGGCCTGCCACAAAGAAACACACCAGTGCGTGGCCATAATCATGACGTACGGCTACAGGGAGACCCCCCAGTATCTTTTTTTACATACTAGATAGGATAAACTCGATCGCTATCGGACATAATGCCGTTTCCAAACTGACTTAATTTACGCAGTGAAGTTTTACTTTCCATGAGGTCGAAGTCCTTTGACCACCAACTGGGCACGTACCCTAAACGGTAAAGCAATATAATGCACTGCTGTGTATCCAGTGGGGTGGTGGGACAATAAACCTCTTCAACATTTGCAACGCACTGTGAAGGCATTTTACGCACAACCCTACGGAAGAAGTGTACCTGTAGAACATTACCCGTTTCCATTTTATTACACACAGTGTACTTGAATTCAAGCCATGCTCGTTTTATAGTGTTGCACAGTAGATAATTACAAGCCTCAAATTGTAAAGCTCACCAGAAAAAGTGTGAAATTCCTCCCAAGCACACCAGTTTTTGTCTTTGACTAAGATTAATAACCATGTATTGGCCAGTCAGAATCAGGACTTGAAGCTTATTCATCCCACACTGACTAATCAAATTCATGTTTCAGCCTAAAGTGACTGGTGCGCGTTTAAAAAGCTAATTAACTAATTTAGCACTTGGGTGAGAGACGCTTCTTCATAAAACACAAATGTGGCACTCGGGACATACTTTGGTCACGCATACTTTGCAGTAAAAGGGGATTCGTTAATTACATTCTCCCAATTCTTTCTGAATAAATCCGATGGAAACACTCTCAGGCAGGCTGTAATTGCATTTGGGGGGGGGAAGTCTTTTGGGGGCGTGGCTCGTGTAGAAGTGAGGGGAGCCTTTGCACCTTTTTTGGACCCACAAATGACATTTTCACGCTTCTTTCTGAAGACAACACAAGCCAACGGATGGCAAAAGGCACCACAGGATGTGTGTTTGATCATTCTGTTTTTCCCCCGCCAAACCGCTTTAACATGTTTCAACAGGTCAAAAGGTGGTCTCAGCTTCGCGCCGCCAGGCCCGGCTGGCCTAACAATAGCAAGGTCAGACAGAAGGCAATAAACTGTTGTGGCGTCAGCAATACAGCTCCAGACACGCTGCTGATCCCAGTATCTCATTGGTCGAAATTCAGTGGCCAGATTCACTAGTACAATAGGGGAGACGGTATTTCTTCACAACCATGTGCAGTGGGGATTATGTATGCAAACATGCTAAGATAAGATATTGGACAGAGGATGTTTCAGGCTGGCTTCAGTGACTGCCTGGGATGATCTCAAGATTGAACCCCCTCCAAAAGTAGCAGCACGAGGGTTCAGGGGAAGTCACGGGGGCTCAGCTGGGTAATGTGAAGCATTTGGAAAAACAATCAGATAACGTGATTTGTGACCAAATTTAGGCTGTACCACCTCTTATACGGAAGAGGGGAGAGACGATTTTTTCTTCTCACCAATTCTGAAATTTTTGTCGGGAAAATAATTCATACTATGTGTGTCTTGAGACTTGATGAGTAGGTACTCAAGAAATATTCTGAAGAAAATTATGAATTCATTTTTGATTCACTTTCCCTTAGATTTATCACTAAATGTATGGATTTTTTGTCATCAAAGCTATATAATGCATCGCAAAATCGAAAGTGTTTATTTGCCCACCCTACAGCCCCCCAGCTTAACCAAGAGAGGGCCCGATTTTCCTGTTCCTTCAGTAGGAACTTCACTTCGCTGGTTCACGTATGAACGTGAGATGAATGCATGGGCGGAGATTTCTTATCACGTGTGGGCGGATGATTTCTGAAAGTTCGCACGTCCTCCATCCCAGGTGAGATCGTGACCCAGGCAAGTGCGGAGGTGCAACAGAAAAAAAGGCGTCGACATCCCCTCTACCCTTTGACCAGGTGGGGATTGGCTATTGAATTATCGATCCCTTACCTTTTTGCTGAGGAAAAATTAGGCGGATTGTGAGGCACATTTTGGACATATGTATTTAATAGCACTCAAAAAGAGAACTAAGTTCTGCTGTGTCTGCAGCAATGTAATACACTGTAATACACATGTTCATGATACAGAATTGTAGATTCTGTATCATGAACATCGCCCATTAAATAGCGTAAGCAGGCCCCCCCCCACCTTTCAAATTTCCACGGGGGCAAATCATCCCCCATAATCCCAACATCCCTACCCCCATATCCATGGCGGCGATTTCCTGTCACATGGGGGGGGGGGTCGAAACCTCAGCACGGCCCGGCCTCCATCGCACTGAGGTGAGATCGTGACACCAGTAAGTGCGGAGAACCGGGAGGCTAAGGGTGTGCATTATCAGTGACTTGAAAAGCATTGGAATATCCCGCAGATCTCCACGCATGTCCACTGCAGCATAGTTATTCCTGTTCACGCTTCTCTGTGCCTACAGCTCATCTCCACAACCAGATGTACACACCCATCCACATCGGAATTTTCCGTCTCAGATCCATATTCATTCAGCAGGGCAGTAAAGTTCATCAATTTTCTCCATTTCGATCCCTCATCAGCTTTCATACTTCTATTCTGTATCATTCACATTAGATTCAGGGCAAGGGCTTTTAAGTAGAAATTTCCACTTTTTCTCCGAACTATTAGTTTTCACAAAGGACTGACGTTACAAGACATTTTAGTGTGGGTTCAGTTGCGTTGACAACAAAAAGAGACAGCTCAAACCCAACTCCCGACGGGTGAAATTCAGAAAGGGCCTTACTAATTTTTTAGTTTGCAGTCCTATGTGAGCTTTTTATTACGAAATGAAATCTGAAAAGCGCGTACTATTGATACACTGATTTTGAGAGCTGCTTTAACAGACCTTCATCTAAACACAGCCCTAGACAGTAACTTGTGACCCGGTTAGCCGGGTTCAAAGGTCACAAAGTTTATATTTGGTGGAATTCTCGGTATTATACGGGTGGAATGTGGTGAAGTTGGGTTTCAGATTGCTTTAAACAAAAGGAGGTTTTTGTATTCTAACAAAACTTGATTTCCAACACAAAAGAAATCTCATTTGGGGGTATGAATTTCCATTTTCGGAAGTGGGATACACTACTTTGACTCCCTGGTAGACTGCTTGATGAAAGGATAAATATGATTTGGCCATTATGTGGAGAAGGTGCCGCACAGTTGCAAAAAATGACACACTGCCACATTGTGATTACAAACAAGTCAAAGTTCAGATTTTGATAATCCATTTAACTCGAATGATGGAGAAAGGTAACTGATGCTTGCAATACCTATGAGACAGACGTTTCAAGTTGTCCTTGAGAATCTCCAACAAAGAACTTGAAAAAAAACTTATAGTATTTGTTATTCCAGGCATCGTGCAAACTGCAGACATTATGTGTTGAAGTCGTTACTGGTTTGTTCAAATTGTAGATAAAAAAGATCAAATATAAAGAAATTAAAACTCTCAAATCTTTTGGGGGAACATTGATTGCCTCAGACTAAGATCTGGCGGTAACTGTACAGTATTCAGTAAAAACGTGAACATTTCCTGATCAGAAGACATTGACTATTTAGTTGAACATTTTTCTAACATTGAAATCTGACTGATGAAACCTCTAATTTTATTTTAATTTTAAAGAGCACCTCTAAGGAAAACATATTTTCTCTGATTTTATCTGTTCAAATAAATATGGAAGCATCCAAATCAAAATGCAGTGTCATAAGTCTGCAGAGCTCAACTATAACAAGCTAAAAAGGGCTTTCCTGTTCATGCCAAGATGCGAATTCTGAGTGTAGATTGCGTCATTTCGAGAAAACAGAGAAAACGGGGGAACCCTCGCCTTGTGTTTGTAGGGCATGCCAAACAATGCATGTAGCCATTGTTTAGCATAACAAGGTTTACCCGCTACCAACGCAGGGTGATGGTTCAAACACGAATGGTCTGAAAAGAAAAGAGAGCGGCCTACCGGTATCATGTCACTATCATGTACGTTGGTTGTACTTTGGCTACAATGTGAATAGGAAAAGGCAAAATAACATCTACTGATTAGAAATTGAAATTTGTTGGTGTCAACACGGCAGCTAAGCACCTGTGCCCTGGGCTTGATCAACAAGCAGCTGAAGGCTGGAAGGTAAGCAGGTAATTGTAACACTCAACCGACCCCCCCCCAGAAAAAAATGACAAAGTTGATGAAAATATCACAGGACAAAACTAAAGGGTAAATTAATACGTCAAGGGCTTGACTTGGATTTTACAAAAGTTGTGTTAAATCCAGTTAGATAAAAAGACCCAGAGTGGGTTTTCTCTCCTTAACTGACAAGATAAGATGTTTAAACACTTTAATGGTATTTTTGTAGTTTGTGACTGAATTTAAAGAACCCTGAAAACTACCAGATATTTGCCTGCTTGAAAGGCAGTTCTAATTACCATGTTTTCAGCATTACTGAGATGGAATTTC